ACTTAATGTACATATTGTTCAACATGTTAGTCTTTTGCAGTAAATAATGCAAGCATTGCATCCTGGCACGAATTACAGCTCGTATTGCAGCCAAATACCGATCTGGTCAACATAATGACTCGCTGATCCAGCACTTCTGAAAATCAGCGCGCGTTTTCTCGCATCGCCTCCGTAGCATTACAGTTGCAGAAACCATATATAAAAACCATACATAAAACATTTCAGCATATTCAACGTTAGAAAATATGCAGCATGTTGTAAAAGGAGTAATTCACTCGATGGTTTCTGATGAGTACCTGACAAATTTGTAATAGAAAGGCAAAAATGTAAATAAAGTTTTCGCCAGAAAAAGAAAAATATTATTGTTTTCATATGATTTCATGTAACGCAATATTTTAGAAACAGTGCGAGAACAAAGCAATTACATTTGCTTTTTTTTTTGCAATTTTCTCCAAAACGAAAAGCAATAATAAGCATATCTCTAAAGGATTTATTATAGGCGCGTTAAAGTCGACAAAACGATTATGGTTTGCTCGCCGAGCAAATAAACATGATTGGTGTTACTTACAGATCTAACCAATCATATTCAATCGCTCGGCGAGCAGGTTAACAGCTTTGTCCGTCTTGAGCGCGCTCATTATCGATCCCTTGCACACTTCTGCAGTTTTGACATTTAAATTCGGGACACTGGGTGCGTGCGTGCGTATGTTCTTGTGTATGTCTATTTCTATGTTTTCTATATATTTTTTTATATCTTTAATTATCCAATAATATCAAATAATATATTATTTTCGGTTAAATAAATAATTATAAGAATTAAAATAATATTTTCGAGACAGATCGATATAAATCATCAGAAAGTAACTTAAAAGTAGAGCAAAAGGTCTCGCAGGGTCACATTCCTGAAAAACACAATCTCAAGATAAAAATCAAGTGAGCAAGCATAAAAGTGGCATTAAATTCGACTTGCTCGTGTCCCAGCATGCTAAATTGTAGCAGGAGGCGGTCGTCTCTGTTATATCATGAAAAAAGAAAAATTGTCATAAAAGCACCATGCGATGTAATTCAGCATAGAGAATATATAGAATGTATGTGTGTGTGTGTGTATGTGTGAAGAAAAAAAATGTGGTCACAATTTTACTTTTTACTTTGTAGGCTTTAATTCCTTATTGGTTATTTTCATATGTACGGTCCAAAAAGATTCTTATTGTTTTTTACTTTAGTATTAAATGCAAATAATAACTTTAAATTTATTTTGATACTCTTTGTGAGCGTGCATGCGTTTCTATGTGTCATAGATATAATTATACGAGAAAGAGGCTACAATAAAATATAATTATATATTATAAATTATACATAATAGTTTTTTTGAAAAAAATAAGAATTTTATGTATTAAGTATAAATTACATGTAATTAATAATACATCAATATTTTTAGTAAAATATTTAATATTAAGATAATAAAAACAATAATAAAGATAAAAATATTATAATTTTTAATTTATATTATATAAACATAATTTAATTATACATGAGTGCTAAAATAATAATAAACGCGATTTTACGAAAAATATACAAACTTTTCGTAAATTTGTAAAATAATTTACATATTTTACGTCATTCTATAACGGCTTTGTTAATTAACGAATCGTTGCCGCAAGGTGTGTAAAATTTTCGCTAAAACAATATTTCAATATAAACTTTCTGAAACAAGTATTTTTACAAGTGTAACAGCTTTCACGATTCAACGTGAAAATATAATTCGTAGACAAATGTGCAAACATATTTAAATATTTTGTTTTTCATTTTTTTAAATAGTAATTTACGTAAGTTAATTTTTTAAAAAAATTTTCTTTTTTCGTATATATTCCTAAAAACACATCATGAATCAATAATGAAATATTTACCAATAGTGGAAATATAAACAGAAAATGTAAATGAGAGATAAATGAAAAACTTTATTCAAATAATAGGTATACGTACAGATAAATGTACAGATAAATGAAACTGTAAAATATTGTGAAAATATAAATAATTGTAAAAACGTTCTTCAAAAATGTGTTATCGATTTTAGTTGAAAGTATATGTATACGCACATCTCTCATACGAACATATGAATATGCATACACACATATATTCATATACGCATGTCTTATTTTTTTAAATCTTATATAATTAATAATACGTTCTCAAAGTTTTTTTTCACAATTATTCTTATATTAACATATGTTATATATGTAGATATGTAATTACACACATCATATAAATAAATATTTATATAGATTTTATTCTTTCTTGTTTGTAAGAATTTCTATATCTTTAAGATTTCCCACGATTTAGATGTCCAATAAAAATAGAAAATATCTTTATCGATTTAGTATGCGGAAAAGTAAGTGCAAACATAGAAACCTCGCGACGAAAATTTGGTCGTTTGATTATTTGTTTGACCGATAAACTTTCTCGTGACTCTTTTACTATTGTCTTTTCATATTTTATCAGATTCTAAGAATTATTTTTTATTGTAATGGATTGTAGAAAGTTTGCACGATAAACATAACTGTTTAATAAAATGAGTATAAACTGTGTTAGAAAATGGTAACTGTATTTATAAATTTATACAATATTAAATTGTGTAAGAAACATTTGTAAATTTATATTTACATTTTTACGTGCTCTCAAACAATACAAAATAGTAAAAGAAAACAAAAACAATATTTTATATATTAGAATCTTATTTTTACGACCGTACAATTGTTAAACAATAACAAGAAAGAAGGAAGCACAAAGCAAAGCCTATCACGGTCAAAGCTAGATCAAGATGCTTATTATCATTATGTGTGAATTTATATATCGCGTATGTAGTTCTCTCAATCGCGTGCCGAACATTTTTTCAGACTTACAACGCAACTCTAAATATTTTATATATTTTCTTTTAACGCTCCAAAAAAAATTATATTTTGCCAATAAACGGGGAATTCCTTTTAGCATTTCTGCTATAATTGTAAGCAAAAAATATTATATGAATCAGGTGCGTGTGTGTATTTATAACACATTTATAAACATTTATCTATAAAAAATTAAGAACACATGAGCTACGATCAAAAATAAATTTCTCTATAATCTTTTATTAATAGAATTTTCTATAGAGAAATTTATTTTTAATCATAGTTCATGTGTTCTTAATTTTTTATAGATAAATGTTTATAAATGTGTTATAAATACACGCGCCTGATTCATACAAGATTTTTAGAGGATTCATATAAGATTTAAGAGGACTGCAATCTTAAATCTGACACCTTACACGGTTATATAAAATTCCTCTACTTTGTAGAGTACCTTTTTAAGGTCGTATACACGTATAAATGGAAAATCCTCTGACATTAACGCGGAACCACTAAACGGTAAAATATTTTTTTTGAGTGAACAAAGCTAAAAGATGTCGAAAAGATATCCTTTTTAAGTTGTTTTTCTGCAAAATAAAAAAGATATCTTTTTATATTGAGAAAAGAAAGTAAAAGACATCTTTTGATTTTAGCGAAAAGGCAACTTAAAAAGCACAACCTTTACCATCCTGTTATGATATTCTTTTAGGCAAAGCAAAAAATCCCGTTTGTCTACAACTTAATTGCCAGCATCGTTAATTTGCCAATATCTCATTTGCCAACTGTTCGTTTTATGCATAAAAATTATTGCCTATAATAAGCTTTATTGCACTTGATCCTATCTATGTCGTAAAATATAATATATATAAATTATGACATTATAGAAGCAATTTTTTAGAATCTTACTTTGGGAAAAACCATTCTCCCAGTCGTCAAAGATTGACTTCCCATTCCTTCTCTCCTTCCCTCCCCCTCCCTCCTCTTACTCACAACTCATTTCCCTTACCTCTCTCTTTTTCTCACTTAAAAATGGAAAATTCTTTGATATATTAACACGGAACCGTTAAATAGCAGAATTTTTTAGGGTGTAGAGTATTTCATGCGATTACTGTCATAATGATAACAAAATATCGTTCAAGTTAATTGCGCATACATGATGACAATTTACCATCAACTTGCTAACACTTACGACGAAAACATTATATTTTATTTGACTGCAAAACTACAGTTTGTGAAAGCACCTTGTTCTTAGATTAGCGAAATTGAATGCGACATGCAAGACAACAAAATTACATGTCGTTATCATTTGGCTATTTTATATGTTTGAATGTAATATATTGGAATAACATTTTATATATGTATATATTGTGTATGTACATATGTATTATACAATATATAAACACACGTTATAAAATATATAATATATATAAAATATAATTATAATTTATATATTCGTTAATATCGTCTTTTATATAAGCACATTTTGTGATAGAAGCTTTTATGTATAGGTATTCCCGTCCTGCGGAATCGCCTCTCGTGAGTAGGTAGAGCAGACTGAACTAATTGTAAGTCGAATAATCCATTACTATTTTGCAATTTTCACGTATCCACGCAGCTACGCTAAGTACGAGGCGCTCATCGATCGCGGTCCATAACTCAAAAGCGGCGCGTCCCTACCAAACAGTCTCTATTATCCGCATAACCGAGAGACAAACTTTCGAAAACAACATTCGCCCGATCATAAATTTTGGTAGAGATACTCTGAATGACGTCAAATGAATATACCCTCAAATGGATTTTCACCGATAAGAATTCTCTCTTATTAAGATTTTAAACCTTATAAGGTTTAATATGTCAAAAATGTTTATATATAAATTAAATTATATACTGACTGAATACCTTTGCACAGCTAAAAAAACTCCAAATCACGTCCGAGTGATCTTTTGTTGCTGGCCTTGATCTCCAAAAAAATGAATTCCACCTTTGTGCGCCCTTTGGCAGGAGGGGAGGAGGAGGTGTTATGCTGAGTCGGTAATCAGTAGTCCTAAGTCTTACCGGTAAAGTAGAAAAGACACCTATCGTATAGGTCGCGGACTAAGCGCACGGTGTAAACGTAACCTTATTAAAAAACCACGTGCAAGCGAGATAAAAGCTAGGAAAATTTGAGTAACGCAGAAAAATCAGTAAAACACAATCAAACACAATACGAATATGGGTCGTAAAATACCAGGGAAGAGACATCGAGGTATTAAGGACAGAGAAAAGCAGCATATTAAACGTTTAGCAGAGTGAGTTGTCAATAAAATTGGTGCCTAGGTATGCGATAAAATTTAAATGACTATATTTTGAACCAGAAACGGATTTTAGGCTAGAATTGTGTACGAATGCAGCGCCGAAAAATATAAACGATCAAGAAATACCAAAAAGTCTGGAACGTATAATTAAATTAAAAGAGGCTGTGAAGACTAGTACTGGTTTCTTGAAGAGAAAGAAGAAGAAAAAGAATGCTCTTATTTGTGTAGGACTACAGCATCGCAAACCAAGTCATTCAAAAGATGGGGTTATACCGGTATTTCAACAGCGACCAGGCGAATCTGGTAACCAATTTATGCATAGGGTATCTAAAGATACACATAATTTTTTGAAGGGAGTAGAATTCGAAAAAAAATACGGTGTTCAAATTGAACGAGATTCAAACACTGGTGAAATTCAAGGTCTAACAAAATGCAAAAATAAAAAGAATGCAGTAGAAATATTAGGAATTAAGCATAAGAATATTAATAAAAAAAAGAAGATACTTGAAAGTTCTACAACTTTGTCAAAAAATGAAAGTCGAAAACTGAAGCTACTTGCTAAAAAGGAAAAAAAGCTTGAAAGATACGATGGATTTGAAGGGTTGCAAGATAAGATTGATTTCGGTGAAGTAGTTTCTGAACCTCCTAGATTGAAAATCAAGTCAGATGAAATTAATGAAGATAAAAAGCCAAAAAATTTATTATTGAATTCGTTATTAAAAGGGTCTAAAGAGGATTTTTTTACTTCTAAAGAAATTAATCAATTTGGAAAGAGAAAATACTTACCTGAAACAGAAAGAAGAAAACTAGAGGAACAACAAAGTAAAGCTATTACAGCCTACAAACAATTGAAGTCTGAACGATTAATAAAACCTACTAGGGTATGTTAAAATTACAAAAGTAATAAATTGTGTTTCAATAAAGTATGTATATTTTACTTTTTTTTAAATTTATTTTCTGATTTATTCTTATTTTATAATGTTATAATTATAATGTAGGAGATAAAACTCATAATAGAATTAATTAAAACTTCTTAAACTAGATAATATCTCAAAGCTTGCACATCTTAATCACAATTTCTTTGTGGTAGGATATAAATATTTTATGGAGAATCCATTCTCGCTAAAAACAGTGATAACATTTTTCTTATTATTCTTTATTATTTGGATATAATTAACCTGTAGTCCAGACAAAGGGCTCGAGCCTCTCTTCAACTGGTAATAAATTGTTGAGTGTTTCAAGGCTTTCAAGAGTTTGATTGAGAAGCGAATGACATCTGGTCAGCTGACGGCTAAGCTCGTGCACTTTATTTATCTGTTCTGCAAATTTAGCGAATTTCTTTTGTCGATCCACGGCAAGATTTAATACCTTGCCAAATTCCGTTTCCATACTAGCGCATAAAGTAACTTGTTCTGTTGCTATAATCTGTGCATTTGTATTTAGATGATGTTGGTAACGTGCACATAGATTAAATAGACCGACAGGGTCAAGCCTCTCCAAGACCTCTGGATCGCGTACACCCGGTGGCAGATTCAATGTGCCACGCATAATTGGTAGAAACATTGGAATACTTTGTAATTTTACTATGTCTGGATCTTTGTCTGCTGTAGGATCTATTTGAGCTGGTTTCACCACTACAATACTGTGTGCCTTGTCTGATATATTAATTTTCTTGTGACTTTTAACATGGAAAGAGAGTAAACTAATAAAATTCTACATGAAAGAGATATTGCATATAACGCATGTTTTCAAATTTTTATTTTAATACTAGAACATTTTAATATAGTGTACATTACTTAATAATAAAGTACTATGTTATATTAAGTAATACACAATAAACTCTTCATTTTTATATATAATATAAATAAAAAGTATATTTGTAAATATATAAATAAAAGTATATTTATAAAAAAAATAAAATTATAAGACTGGCTTATTATTTAATATAAAATGTGAATATATTTTTTATATATATATATTCTTTGTTTTATTGGAAATATATGAAAACATTAAAAACATTGTATATATAAATCTAATAGTAGTACCTACTTATGATTTGTTGCACCTAGGCTGTTTTTCCGCCTTGAAATTTCTCCAACTCCAATACTCTTTCCTCTATATATTTGTGACTGTTTATTTGTCATCTTTGGTGAATCTCCAATAGGTCGATTCACTGTATAAGAAATATATGGAAGATCAGAATCAGAGCAAATGCTAGCGCCAGGACTGATACATCTTGGTGGAGTATCTTCTGGTTTTCTTTCACGATTTGGAACGCTTTTACCACGTCTGAGTTGACTTGTTCTTGTTTTTTCATTATTAGCATTTTGGTTACTATTTTGAGAACTTTGCTCGGACCCCATTTTCAGATTTCTTAGAGCTTATTTGAAGATCATGAAACTTTAAAAGAAATAGGAATGCTCATAAAGAGATATGTACTACAATCAAATCATAGTATAATCATAGTACATTTTATGATACTTAATTGTTTTTATCATCTTTATGTATTAAAAACTATACTATTAGATCAATGCAAGTTTGTGCCCAATTTATTATTCAAAGTTAATAATAAATTGTGCACAAACTTACACTGATTTAATATTTCTGCTAAGATCTGTGAAAATTAGAACAATCGGTAATTGTTGAGTTTAGGGACATCACTTACGATTTTGATAATTAGTCTTATTCGACACGTTTTTGCATTGAATGAATGAATCTGGTAAAAAAAGTGTCGCTCTATCCCGTGAACCGTGAAATATTATTTGTTAAAGTTGACAAAATACTTAATATCACAAAATATTTAATAACTATAACAGTATGATATATCCTCAAGCTGTTTTTGCAGATTTTGCCAAAGTCTTGATAGTATCCTTAGCATTGTTTATGTTTTATCATAACACATGATATCAATAAATTTAAATAAATCACTAAGAGATTATATAAACACAATATATAAAAATTTATATTTTCTTATTTTACCCTTATTTGCTGCTATTTAAAATTATTACTCATTTTATGTTTATTTTATATATATATATATATTGCTTATTTATATTTATTTTATTTCTTATTTCATGATTGTGATATGGTAATGAAAACTGATGGAAACGTATCAAACACCCACGAACCCATCGATCATTAACTGTGCAAAAACCAAGATTGTCCCCCTTGGACTCTATCTTGGACTTAATATAAAGGTCACAGCATGGGCGAGTTTTTTAATTCATCGATTAATCAATTGTATTATACGCATATACATGTAGCTTTTATAGAAAATAATTACATTAATGCATAATGTAATTGATCAATCGAGATGTATTAAAAAAACTCGCCTCACATTCGTATGATATACATATGTATATATAATATCGGGTACGATCCACTTGACGCGCAACAAATTAATAAAATTCTTTCTTCCGAAACTTCGATGCTTTCAATTGACCAATCGGAAAAAAGAATATTAACAACTGACCAATCAAAAAATAGCCTGGTGCTTTTGATAGTATTTCATCGGTGCTTTTACATAACGCATAGTGCATAAAAGAATCAGCCAATCAAAATGCTTTTCTTCCGTGAAGTGGGAGCAAAAAGAAAGGATTCTGATTAGTTGATTTACTTATTAATTATTATACACTATGCGCATAAATTTATGCATAAAATTATCTAATTACGAGCGTTTTTTTTATAACAGAATGCGATTGAATAATTTTCTTTATGCACATGTTTATGTAAGTTTATGTACATACACCTTTAAACGGGGAGCATAGATTTTTTCATAACGCACAACACATAAGGCATAAGAAATTCAACCAATCAGAGTTCTTTATTTCATAGAAAGGAAGAGAACGAAGAACTTCGATTGGTACATTTTCTTATGCATTATACATTATGCGTTATGCAAGAGTCTGTGCTTCCCGTTTTAAGCTCAAAATACATGAAATGTACAACAGAGCATAACATAAAACTGTTGGACCAATAAATATCCAGCATAAAGTTGCCATATTGATTTACATAACATGCTCATTGGTCCAGCGGTCTTATGTTATGTTTATACACTGTTATGCATTTCATGTGTTTTGGACTTTAAGCTGCAAATGCAATGAAAAACACAGGAAATAGGAGAACAGGGAATAAAGCCCCATACACAATGCGAAGGAACAGTAATAGCGATTTCCTCGCATTGTGTCAGAGGTATCAGAAAATTCCAATCAGTGTATCTGATTTTTGATAGGTTGAAACAGTATTATTCTTATATTATTGCTATTGCTATTTCTTTGCATTATGTCTGGGGCTTAAGAGATTTCAACCTGAGGTAATTTCAACTGTGAACTCGTAATTATAGTATATATTACTTTATATATTAAGAAATTGGCATTTACCAACACATAAATGAAAAATGAGTATCTACCAATTTTTTCCATGCCTAACACAGTCGTGATAGCGCCAAACTGAATACGTGAAAAAATTCATAAGCGAAAAAAATTACCCGTTTTTTTTGTTTTGTAAAATTGATTATTTAAACGACAATTGTTTAAACAAATTGTTTAAAAATGCACATTAAAGTACTGTTTGATTCTACGTTCGAAAACAAGAAACTTTTTTTTGGTATTTTTTCGATCCGGTGCTCTTTGTTTATGCAAAAAATTATTATAAATGGTTTGCATGCGCAAAGTCGGCTTCTATCTAAGTTCGGTATTGCATAAATACAAAAACTAACCACGGGATTTTCACAGCATAAGCGAAAAAAATTAGCTTCGTTTTTTTGCAAAATTGATTGTTTAAACGATACGTTGTTTACATACATACATTAAATATAAAAATGTTAGCTAAATTAGTTAATTTTTATGCTATTTAATTTTTATTTATTTTGTATTTTATTTAATTTGCTATTTAAAAAAATTATTACAATTTAATTTTAATAAAATGATACAACATCAGATATATATATATACTACAGTATATATTTACATATATTTATACATTATATGTATGTATCATATCTATTATATACAATATTATATACAATATATGTGTATATACATATATTACAAGAATGTTACATTGAATTTGATGAAAACAACATTCATCATTGAGATATTTATAATTTCTCTCTATATATATATAAGATTTTTTACAACCATATCATATTTTTTGGTCTGTAAATCTATTAACTAATCTAATGGCTTCAAATGAATTATTTTTTGCCTTTTTTCACATTGTTATAATTTGTCATGATACGATTTATATTTATACTATTTTATTAGCTTTCGGCATCTCAATTCCATTTGCAGGAATGCCTTCATATTAGGATCTTGTACCTTGTCAAAAATAGCCTTCTGCAAATCTGTATTGGATTTTTCTATCATGTTACTCAATCTTTCTGCATATTCAATCCATACACAATTTGTGCATCCTGACATGCAGCAATTAGTAGGTTCTGTCAAATCATCCATTGAAATTTTTTTTGCACGATCAGTCTGAACTTCGTCATCTTTCTGTATTGATAAATTTCGTTGATAACAACAGAGACTTTTACTAATGTTTAGCCTTGATCGAAGTAGGGCATTCATTTGTTTTAATGTTGCCCAAGATACATGCTATGCAGTGAAAAGAATAGCTATTTTTATAATTAATATATTATATTAATTAAAAAAAGAATAAATATTACATAGAAAAAATAACTTTGTTCCTTCTATAAATAATATTTAAAATAATTTTAAGAAAATGTTATCTAACCTTGTTGTGGAGCAGTTTATGTTTAGAACATCAGAACTATCATCGACGAGATAAATTAGTCCGTTTTCTGTTTCTGCACTAGACTGTACTAGACTCTCTTTCTCTCACTTTCAATAAATATCAAACATATACCTGGATTGCCTGTTTCACTTTAAGTTCCAAAAGTGTAAACACGGAGTAAAGTCTTGTATCTACGATGCTAGAAATTGATCCAAGGTGAAAAAAGAATTGAGCAATTACATTAATCACGTAATCAAATGCCTCAAACATGATTTATTAATACTTTGTCTCTCCGAGATCTCGGATCGATTTCCAGCATCGTGGACACAAGGCTTTAAAAACAAGGAAACCAACCAAACTAAAAGCGACCGAAAAGATATAGGCTCGAAACATAGATATATATGACTCGAAACATAGCTTCGGAAAAGCGCCATATGGAAGAACATAGGGTTGCGCACAATGGAGGAACAGATATTAGATATTAAAATATAACCTATCAGAATCGTGTATTCCGGTGTAACTGGTATCTGATAGGTTAATATTTTAATATCTAATATCTGTTCCTCCATTGTGCGTAGCCTTAAAGTACAGCCACAATAGAAAGAATAAGGAATAAGAAATCTCAATCTATCAGAAATCGGATACATTGGTATACATAATTTTTGATAGACTGATTGAAATTTCTTATTCCTTATTCCTAATTCCTTATTCCTTCTATTGTGGCTACACCCTTATGGCTCCTGCAAACATAACGCGTTTCCGCGTCTTGCTTGCAGGAGCCATTTTAGTGCTAAATCTATAAAGTACCGTCAACTGGCCTACAGTAGTCAGAAATGCAAGTGTCAAAATGATGTAACTGCATTACATATATGCACGATGTATACTATTTTACATGATTTTGTGCACACTTAGGTGCTGCTAAGTGTATGTACATATTCCTTTTTGTTCATAAATAAATTAATTATACATTAAAAAAATTATTTACGTATTTTACGGCTTTATTTTCTCAAATAAAGTATGTTCATAGAAGTATGTTTGAAATGGCCGCGTCGAGGGGTCAATATGAAGTCCAGTTAACGGTATTTTATAGATCTAGTGACTTTACGTAACCTTGATCGTGGCACCACTACCTGCCACTATCTAAGGGCAAAAATAAAATCAGTGAATATCTTTTTAAATGGTTTCTCTCTACATATTACAACTTTAAAATTACATAAAGTCTCTAAAGGCTTCTGGAGTTATTAAACATTTCAAATAAGTATCAATAAAGGGCAATGATCTGTCTATAAACACGCTGTTAGTATAATAAATTCTATTTATAGATATATATTACAATATATTTAAAGTTCCAAACGTTTCGTCTTAAATCATTCTCAGCGGACAACAATTTCAAATTAATACAGGAAGATAGTACTGATGGAGTAAAATTTGGAGAATAATATATTGTGTAAGTAGATAATTTTTGTCTATAATATTTTTTAATGAAATTTATATTAGATTAGAGAAAAAGTTCTTTTGCATATGCAAAAAAAACCCTTCGCCAACCCGGTCAATATTTGTTGCGAAATTTTCGTTGCAATCATTTAATACTAGAGAAAAGTTTCAGCTTTAAGAATCGGTTTTTTTTTTAAATTGCGATACAATGATTTTTAAGGAGTTATTGTAAAATGAAGATTCTTTATATACATATATGTGTGTGTGTGCGTTGTGTGTGTGTGAAAATTTTCCCCAACCCAATATTTTTCGAGATATTCCGATACTTTTTATACACTCTATATTATATATGTTTTACGTATTTTTATATATTTATTATATTTAATCACTTTTGATCTGTGAATTAATTGCAGCACATTGCATATCATGACAGATTTTTGCAAACTATAAATAGATTCGCAGATATGTTTCGCGATTAGGAACGCTGAATATTCTATATATGTATGTATTACACCGAGGACAAATAGACCGCAATTTACCATTTGCAAGGTGATACGCTTTTTCCATTCTTAATGTAACAACCGTCATCCTAGACGATGGTCATTGTCGTGGAGATGCTCTCGTCTCATCTTCAAACCATATCATTATGTTCACTATAATATTAATCTATTATTTACTTCTGTAATTTATAGATCTTTCCAATTTTTTTCAATATTAATTTTCTATTTCGGAAGGTCTCAACGCATGCACACAAATAAT